CTTTGATCCTGGAAACGTTTTCCAAGTGAATTTAAGTGAATTTATTATATCGTTTAGGACAATGGTAAGCATTGCCTTTGGAGATCAAATTGGTTTATAAAGGAGTCTTTGGTCTGCCTACTCTACCTTTTACTTTTTTGCCATCTCTCAGTGAAAATGCAAAGGCAAACATATGTGGCAGAAGAGAAAACTGTTGGGTATAATGGCTCTCGGTATTAAAGCCAAGTATTTACAAGTGAAAGGAATGAGGTCCATGTCATTGCTAATGGGATTTAAATGGATTTAGGAACTAAGGCTGAAATAGGAGCCTAATTAGAGAAGATTCGAGGGTCGTCATGTCAGTCCTCACCTGTCGACCAGGCAGACAGCCTGTCCACAGCTTTCACTTCAAAGACATGGCCTGTTCTTCACATCAGTGTCTCTTCCCTCCCAATTCTTGAGGGAAAAAGATGCCTTGGCCGCCCCTTGCAGCTTGATATGTCTGAAACATGGGTTGAGATTCAGCTTATATTTGGCCTCTAAAAATTTAAGCTACTAAAAACTCAGAATATGATATTGAGTGATTTTTTTAAAGATGGGTGGGAAAAAGAAATCATATTGGATAGATTGTTTTTGTCAGGCTTATTCTAGTTTGAATTGCCCTTCTAAAAATAAGAAGAAAGGACATGGACAGGAATGGGAGAGCCACACTTATGATATAATGGGTCCTTTGCACCTATCCTTGAGATCTAAGATTTTGTACATTTGCTAAGGTGGACCTCTCTTCCCCTGCTTTTCTAGTTCACTTTATATAGTGAACTAGAAAATACATGAAATTTCTAGTTTCTATAATACATGAAAAATTCATGTATTTAACCTACCTTGGTTTCTCACGTGGAATATGTTAGTCATGGAAACTCAGAACCTGGAGGGGGGACATCTGGAGCTGCAGGAGGAAGAGGAGGCTGAGGCAGTGATGGAGCTCAGCTGATCTCCTGGGGGTGCTGGGGGGGGGTGTCACTGCATTTGCTAGAGCTAGTGTTTCCGCAGCTTGGTGAGTTGGGACATCAGGGAGCAGAGTGTCCTATGTCTTACTCTGTTCTCCTCTGCTACTTCTCTTTGCTCCTGCCCTTCTTGAGGGTACCTGGTGAGGGTTGTTGCTAGATGTGGGGGGTCCAGAGACAGTGGGAAAGACCATGGACCAGCGATGGCACTCATGTGACAGTCTACTGCCGTGTGAAAATGCTGCACCATGGAAGTAGAATTTTGTGTTTGTTCCTTTTAGACTCCATCCCAACAATATTTCTCATCATTTAGATCATTCTTCGACTTCAGGCTTCAGTACTCACAGGTGATTCCATTGGCTTTAGCTTTAATTAAGAATAAAGAAGTCATTAGGAAAGCAGATTCCACCTTCAGGCAAATTTGTTTTCTGCTAATGACCTAGCCACATTTTGTTTCAGACTTTGGCCAAATGTTAGCTCCAGGATTTTGTAAAAATAATTCACATTTTAAAATTTGCCATCATGGGATTTTTTTTCCAACTATTATAATTGATTGTACTTAGTAGAATTCATTTCTTAAAACACAAAGTTTGCGCTATCAGGAATGAAATCTCCAGCAATCTCAAAGCATTTGGAAGCAGGTCTCCTTTGATTCTGCACATAGGAATTTGCTTATTATCTTTTTTTTTTAATTAACAAAACAAGAATAACAAAAAGACAGTGGATTGAGATTTCAGCATATGCAGTTCAGATTCTTTAACCTCTGGAACATATGGTTAATTTATCACGCATTCATTTATCCATGATCATAAGTGTTATCTCTTTATTTATTTATTTATTTATTTATTTTTTACTTTAGCATAATATGGGGGTACAAATGTTAAGGTTACATACATTGCTCTTGCCTTCCCTCCCACCTTGAGTCAGAGCTTCAAGCGTGTCCATCCCCCTGACAATGCACATTGCACTTATAATGTATATATATATACCCTTCCCCTCCTCCCCCTCCCCCTTTATCGATGACACCCGATAAGTGTTATCTCAGTACTGGAGGAAAGCTGGAAAGGTGCTAGGCCTGCTGGCTCACACTTACCTTTCTTACTTGTTGATTCAATTGCTACAGTGGAAATCATTTGGGGTCACACTGGGGTTAACCAGATTTTAATCTGCACTCTCTATGGTAATCATGCATGTGAAAGGAGTGGTTTGTGGGGAGAGAAAGAAGATGAGTGGTAAAAGTCAAAAGGAAGAGGAGGAGTGAAAAAATGAAAGATTAGAAAAGAAAGAGAAAACAGCAAATTGACGCCTGCCCATAGACGACCCCAAGCATCTTCCTCTCATAGCCAGCCCCTTCCCAGACAGATGGGAAGCCCCAGATTGCTCTGATGGAATCCAGCTTCCTTGGATCCCAGAAGTTTTCAGATTCTCAAATGGTGGCATTAATTGTTTTGTTAAATGAACTCTTATATGGACGTCCAAGATATAAAAACAAACAAAATAATCTTTTATTAATGTAAATTTACCATATAAATTAACATTTATAACATTTCCTTAGTGTAAAATTAATTGGTGAGGACTACATTATTAAATAAACACAAAAATGCGGAATTCGAGGATATGGGGGATACTTCCTTTCGTTACTTCTTTTTACCACATCCAATTTCTGTGTTTTGTTTTAAATGTATAGGATTAAGGAAATATTGTTCACATTAAAGGCAAATAGTATTTAATTTGTGAAACTTCTAGGGATATGCAAACAATATTTTCAATAGCTTTAACATCTTGAAGGAGGAGGAATTGGTAAATTAGGCTGATCACTAATAATAGTTGCAAATATAGGTATCATTGGTGCAAAGTGAGACAAAGCCCTTTCATGCTAACATGCTTACAGTGGGTGCCAGTACTCTGTCTAAGGTGAGAGAGTGCTGTGTTCACATGCTGTCGTGTAACACAGTGTGGTAAGTGCTCAGCACTGAGACCCAAGATTTCTGTGGCATTTAACTGAACTTTGCACACTTGAGTGTGGTAGCTTGCTGGCTTTAGGTAGGTGCATACCTAAATTTTAAATCAAGAACAGAACAGAACTGTGGCCTTACAAATGAATGACATCTGCAAATTCAGACAGATGCGTGGAGATGGAAGGAGAACCGATGGGGTCAGCACATATGGAATTGAGTCAGCAGCAAAAGTCAACATAGTATAGGGTCAGTGTGTTTATATGTAATAGGCAGGTTCTGATTTTAATTACAATTAAATACATAATTGTCTGAGTCATATATTCTGAGGTTGCTAAGTACTTCCCCGGAACTCTAGTGTCAGAAAACTCTACCCTGGGCGAGGGTCCCATTATCCCCAGGCCTAGTATCCCTCATCAGATCTCCTGGTGCTAAAGAATTATTCTGGTGACAGCAAGACAGCTTATATTTCCTGAAATGTGTGGTCACTTTATTTCATTGTGGTGTCCTTTACCTGATGATTTATTGTGACAAATGTATATTTTTCTTTAGATTATTCTTAGCTAATTCTGAGAATAAAACTCCAATACCTTAATTTGATTTTCACGATCTTTCTCTACTTTTCCAAAGCTAATGCCCAAAACACTGCACCCCAATAGAACTTCTCATTTTCTCATTTCCCATTGTTTTTCTTCTTTCCACTTGCTTTTGCTTTTTCTTCATCGAAAATGCTTTTCCCTTGTATCTCTTCGTGTGTAGATCTTCATGATCGAGACCTTAGAAGTGATCATCATTTTTGGTTTAGCAATATATATATATGTGTGTGTATATATATATATATATGTGTGTGTGTGTATATATATGTGTGTACACACACACTGTATATGTGTATACACACAAAAACACACAATAGTGTATAAACCATATAAATGATTATTTAATGGCATGGAAATATTCTCATTATGTTAAGTGGAAAAGCAAATTGAAAGATACAGTTCTGTTTCTTTTCTGAGTAGAAAGATATATAGGAAAAAAATTCCTGAATGTTCTACAACCACAAAATGTTACTGTTATAGTTTGTGGAACTGGAGGTGAGGTTTATTTTACTTATTGATATCTTGTTTGGACAGTAAACCTGTTTTACTTTTGTAATAAGTTGTACATTAATAAACTGCATCTCTAAAGTACAGTGTACTTTATACCACCTTTAAATAACATTTTAGAATATCTGAACCCAAAACTCTTCCAAGTTGTTTTCACAATTACTCATATATCCAAGTATTTTAAAGAATGTTTAACCCATGTAGGTGGCACTAAGGTTGACAGTAATGCAAAGGTTCCACACAGCATATGAGGTCTGTTTCTGTTAGCCATCTGGATCATGCTTTTGGAAATCATCAAGCTATCTGTTCACTCATGTCTGCAATGATGCCCCTTGCCTCCAAGGCGGCACACCTAAGATTTTCACTAAGGAAAGAGGAATTGAGATTTAGTGTTTTCCAAAGACCTAGGTGACATTTTTAAATATCCTCCTCAACAGGAAAAGAGCATGCAATTCTGCTGTGTCGTGGTTGTGAATAACATGTCCACAGAGGAACGTGACTGCTGTTTCTGGTGAATGTATTATGCAAAGGGAAGTGCGTCTCTGTCCATCCTGTCATTCAGGATGATCTTTCAAGTCAAGGAGTCCTGATCTTGCTTTGTGGTTTGTTTCTCCACATGTGCTCCTTCCAAAACAAAGAGGGTATATTTGGTACTCATTGATACTTTTTTTAAAAAAGGGAATTAGGCAATTTTCCTTGAAACTTCCTTCCTAATTCAGCATGAAGTAGAATAAAATAGTAGAAATGATGGAATTTATTTAGAGATACCGCAATAAGAAGGGGAATTGTTTGGTAATGCGGCAGAATGTTAGAGGGCTGAGGAATGGATTGAAGAAAATTATCAAGCATGCATGTTGTTTTTAAGTGATACTTGAGACTGGGATGTGCAACAGCTGTGTTGTTGGTTGTTTTTTTTCCTGTGCCAACTTTCTTTATTTGATTGATTTTCTCTCTGACAGCCCACTGTGCTGATAAATGTGTCCATGGTCGCTGTGTTGCTCCAAACACCTGTCAGTGTGAGCCTGGCTGGGGAGGAACCAACTGCTCCAGTGGTAAGTTTCCACCTGTTGTTGTCTGTCTTGGGATGTTTTTGCTATATGGGCCCCTTGTTTGCAGATGACCCTGAACTGAGCTTTTCCTCTTCAACCCTACTCAGAGCAGGGTACAGATTCCAAATCATTTGTACTGTTCTTCTTAAATCTGTATGTGTGTTATGTACAGAACTGTTGTTAATTGGGTATAAAGAGAAGTACTTGGAATGAGATTTCAACAATCTGAGGCTCATACTTCTGTCAATGTGATTGCATTTTCCAGAGTAGTGTCCACAATATAGATTCCTTACTTCAGCAAGGCAGTTGTGGTAACATAGCTATTGTACTTTACCTTCTGTGTTTACCTAATGATTTCTCTAAAATGCTTTCTTGGTGATTGAATTTTACCACCTGTTGGTTTTAACTTAGAAATAAAATTGGTATTTTGATGCTAATATAACTATTAATATTTGTCTCTGCATTCTGAGATGCAAATATTGAAGACTTGCTAAGATAACTTTTGGGGGAAATATTTGTAATAAATGAAAATTCCTGAGCATTTTGGTGCTATGGTTTGGTACAAATCATAACATAGTATGTAATTTGTCCCCATTATGTTAGAATTATAAAATCTAAAATGATGATATTTTTAACTATAAGCAGGCTGCACCAAAAATCCTGTATTCGTTATTTTGAAGATTAAATGATGGAATGTCATGTAATACAATTGCTTTTCTAAATTTCACAGTTAAAACCTAAATCTTCTGCTTAACTTGTTGCTGCATATGTAATTGGGTCCACTTCCTGTTCCATTATGCTTCTTTTTTTGCCTTGAGAAACATGATAAAGAATTGAAGTGCAACTAAATTGTAAAGCACAAAATATTACATTTTGAAAAAGGAAATAATAGTTTTTAAAAATTAGCAAGTTCTCATGACAGCACAAATTTGTCTTCACTACCAAATAATTTTTTGAAGCTGGTCTGAAAGGACTTCAAGCTGTTTTATAAGCAAGTTTTATGAATTTTTACTTGCTTACTTTGGAATTGGGGAGATTACTCTTTATCTTGTTAGGACTGCTTGTCTCGGACTTGTGATCGCTTGGCTTTTCCTGAAGCAACATGTCCAGGGGAAGCCCGGACTGTGCACAGAGGGCTTGGTGTGAAAGAGCCTTGTTATTGTACCTTAAACCCGGAGAGAGAGAGAGAGAGAGAGAGAGAGAGAGAGAGAGAGAGAGTGTGTGTGTGTGTGTTTGTGTGTGTGTGTGTGTGTCTTTCTGCCCCTAACAGGCTTCTCAATTCCAGTGGATAACTGTCTTGCAGGGTTTTGGTTTGCTTCTGTTGGAGATCAGGAGGACAGTGGGCATTTTGTTCACACGCCATTGAGGCAAAATGTTTGGGATATGGGATTTGGCTCATGTCCATTTTTCTGGCCAATTGACCTCAAATGCAATGTTGCTTTCATTAACTTTTCCAGCTTAAAAATAAGTTGTGCCTAGATTTTTTGAAGAAAAATAACATTATTATAAACTAGTGGAAAGGGATGAGTGGGTGTATTCTTCATTTGGAAAATGAGGTTTGTTACTAATTCCAGGGCAAGGAAGCTATAGAATAATTTTAGTCGTATCCATACTTTGTCTCCTAAGAACTGCAGCCTACCTCAAGCTAAGGGATCAGACTGAAGAGTGTTTGTGTAAGCAAAACAAATGCCCACGTGGGTTTCAGACTCTCTAGAACTGATTTAGGCCTTCTAGAAAATAAACTGTTGCTTTATTTTGGAGTTTACTGACTTTTGAATGAAGACCCTAGGGTTTTGAGAACATATATTCTTCTAATATTGAAAGATAATATTGAGGCAACTTTTAGTTTGTTCTCTACAACTCATGTTTTAGATTTATAGTGAATAAAAACATAAATAAACTTGAACAGATGTGTGAAGTCTTTAAAGATGTTCACAGAAAAACATTTCTGATACCTTTTGTTAGGCGCATAAAAAATGGTTTCTAAGCTGTGTCTTGCTACCTGGGTTTTGTCTGTGGCAGTTACCCTAATATCAGGAATGAATAATTTTGTTTACTGTTGGCCAGATGATTCTGGAAACAAAAAGTATGCTCTAGTAATCTACTATGTATCAGAGTTAAAATGGACTAATTTCCAAGGACTCTGTTTCTGTTTAACCTCCTCTCCGGTTATTGTTATATATAAATTTGATGATGTATGTTAAAACCATAAAGTGATTGCTTTGATAATTAGACTGGCTCCTTATATCAGTCAGGGGCCAATCAGGGTACAGAAACCACAGTAATATTTTTTTGAATAATGCTATTATTTGGGAACAATTTTAAATTTACAGAAAAGTTGCAAAGATACTACAGAGTTTTCTCATATAGCCACACCCATTTCCCCCATTGTTAACCTCTTAAATCACCCTCAGTTTGTCAAATCTGAGAAACTGACATTAATATGCCACTATTAAATAAACTACAAATAAATGTTATTTGGATTTCATCACTTTTTCCATTAATGTCCTCTTTCTGTTCCAGATTTCAGTCCAGAGCACCACACTGCATGTCACTGTCAAGTCTCCCCAGCCTCTTCTGGCCTATAACAGTCTCTTAGACGTCCCTTATTCTCATGACCTTGGCAATGTAGGGAAGGACTGGCAAGGTATCTTGCAGAATGTCCTCCAATTTGTGTTTGTCTGTTTTTCTTATGATTGGACTCAGGTTATGAGCTTTGAAAGGAAAACCACAGAGTTGAAGTGCCCTTCTCATCACACCATAGCATGAGATTCCCATGACGTCACTGGTGCTGCCGTCACTTTAACCTTCATCACTTGGTTGAGGTAGTGTTTGCCAGATTTCTCCACATGAAGTTACTATTTCCCCCTTCCCTACTCTATTCTTTGGAACCAAGTCACTATGTCCAGCTCACCCTCATGGGTGAAGGGCAGGAAGTGAGCTAGCTCCGTATCTTTGAAGGAGGAATATCTGCTTATATTATTTGTAATTCTTCTGTAAGGAAGATGTATTGCTTCTCCATTTACTCAATCATTTATTTATATCAGTGTGGACTCATGTATATTTCATATTTTGGATTAAAAACCAATATTACATAATTTATTTTATTACTCAGATTGTTCCAGCTTTGACCCCTGTATCATTTTGATGTGGCTCATCTTTTTTTATTTTGAGCACTTCCTTACTTTCTGATACTATAAGATACTCCAGGCTCATCTTGTATTTTTACTGCCCCAGCCCTAGAATGAGCCATTTCTCAAGGAAGCCTTGGTTCCGTTTTTTGGGGAGTGATATTTAGAAACTAAGATCTGCGTGCTGGGGGTGCTCATTGTTACTGGGAAGGTTACTGGGAATTGTTACTGCCCAGTTACTTGAAAGGAGAAATTTAATATAAAGAATTATTAATTAACCATGGCAGGAGATTGGAGCAATGAGGGATTGGCTAGTAAGTGGACAGAACTCTAAAGAATATAGGAGAAGCAGAGATAAGAGGCAGCCACTACCCCTAGAGCTGAGACGGAAGCCCAAAGAGGAAGTCCCACTAGGCGTGTGACCCAGACCTGCTGGAGAGGGCACAGCCACAGCTCACTGAATGGCAGAGAAGCTACATGGTGCTGCTCTAGCAGAACTTGCTGGAAATCTGCCCTCTGGAACTTGCTAGAAATCTGCCGTGTAGGACGCTTGAGAAAGCTCTTCATGGAAAAGTGTCTCACCAGAAGCACTCTGCTACAAAAAAGGGGAAGTTGTTGGCTGATGGGTGCTGCTGGCCACAGTGTACTCTGGGAGCTGCATGCTAGAGAAGCTGTTCATGCTACAGGAGCTTGCTGGAGACGCCACTTGTGCTGTAGAAACAGGGTGCTGGAAAGGCTGTCTGTGCTACAGGAGGAGCCTGGTGCTAGAGGAGCCATTGGCACTGTGCTTACACTGAAGGGGCTGGGTGCCGCAGCTGCCCGTGCACTGCAGGAATCAGTTGAGCTGGCTCCCACCTGGAACTAGGATGGACAGTTCCTTCCTTCTGCAGTGTCTCTCTAGCGCCCTCTACTAAACATGCTTAACCTTCAGCCAGCTAAGAAGGAAAAATTTTTAAAGGGATTTTTGTAGAGCAGACAAATTAATTAAATTAATAAATTAAGAGCTGAAAGGCAATAAATTGATAACTGTTGCAGTCCACCCATTTGATTACTCAGCTTTTATATGCACCCTTCTACATACATTTACATTCCTATCTGTCAACAAAACAACCCTGTATTTACACCTAATATGATACAGCAATTCATCATACGAGTAAAGACATTCCCATGAAGAGATGCAATTCCCAATAGTCATTGCATCCACTGATGACTATATCAGTTTTTTATAACTCACTGTTCTACAAACTATTCTGTTCCCTAGATACTAAAGTTAACTTGCAACAACTTGTATATAAAATAAAATAAAAATGGGAAAAAAGAAGAGAAAAGAAAATAGCAAATAAAAATAAGCACATACATATAACAAGCAAATAGAAAATATTAAAAGCTACTACAGGCTTCTTTTTTGTAATTGGCCACAGGGCTGTCATTGATATCTATGGCTTCCTTCTTTCATTCTCTATTTCATATTTCTGCCATCCTCAACCTGAACCTCAGTTGCTTAAGGTTCTGTACCTGATAGAGTGGCTCAAACCTTCATTCCTGAAGAGTCTGAGTTCCCACATGTCCTGCCTTTTTTTGGTTGTTGACATTTCCTGTGAACCTTTACTACTGGGCATGGAAGTATGACAAGGTACTCCACAGAATCCCTGTGTACCAGATTGGTTCTCCTTTTTCCCGTGTGCAGAGCAACACAGTTTCCCCTGTGTGAATCAGGATCAATCAGTCTAGCCACAAGAGTAACTTCTTTTACTGATATTAGGAGTCTAAAATGGCCAGATGGCAATAAACTAATAGCTGTCACACATAGCCATCTTCTTTCCTTCCTAAAATACTTGGGAGATTAAAGGACTCACAAACCTTCAAATGTAC